TCTCTCTCTCTCTCTCTCTCTCTCTCTCTCTCTCTCTCTCTCTCTCTTTTTTTTTTCTCTCTCTCTCTCTCTCTCTGGTGGGCCTGATTACATATGTTTTACAACTTCCCATCAAGTGTTGTCTTTTATACTCACCAGTAGAGAAAACAAGCACGGTGTTGTCCCACAGACCTTTGTCCTTGAGCGCCTGGGTGAGATTGCCCACACCTTCGTCCATGACGGACACCATACCTGGGGGGGTGGGGTTGAGAAAAGGTGTTGTAACTGTCGGTGTCAATGTAAAAGGAACAATGATGAACAAACAATAGTGACATACAGTATGTACCAGACCCTATAGAGCGCCTTTTCCAACCATGCAAGGGTCTCCAGAAAGAAAATAGCAAGGGGTTTTGCTTCATAACGATTGTACTCACCCCAGAAATGTTGGACTACGTGAATAATTATGAATCTGTCGCCTGTTTTGGGTAGACAGAAACATCGAACAGAGTGGAGATTTTATATATTAATAATAATCCCCAGCAGACCCTCTGAGAACACTCAGAAACATTCTCGGCTTCCGCGGAAGCATACAGTGCAAGCTGCGGATTTCACGCGCTCAAACACTATCAGACTGACAAGATCGTTCACTGTCTATAGCCGGGTACCCATTTCCACCTGAATGAAGTGATGAAAATTTGTGCAAAGTGCCTTTCCTAAGGACTCAACGTCGGGCCCCTGACGGGATTCGAACCCGAGAGCCTAACCACTAGGCCACAGTCGCCACAAAAACACGAAGCCCAAACTAAGAGAAATTGAAAGACGGCGAACCGTTTTGGTTCATTCAGCTACATCAACAACTGTTTTGGTTAGGCATAGTCTATTGTTCATTGGTGATCATGAACGTCTCTTTACATTTAATTTATGAGGTTCACGCCTATGGGTGAATTTGACTGCGACAATGTTTCAAAATTAGGAAGGGAAGCAGTTATTATTTGATTATATAGACGCTTCGCCTCTGCACTGAGTCGACTTCCCACTGTTGGACAATCCTGTTCAGTTGAACCTGCCATGACGGCCACCTCTATAAGATGGCCACCTTTACGAACTGCCA